TGAGACTGTGCCTTGGGGAGCTCCAGTCCCTCTTCTGGACCTCCAGCTGCAGCCCCTCGGCTCACTTCCCCCTCCCACCAGGGCCTCTGACCCCACCCCAGCTTGTGGCTCTCAGGTCCCTGATTTCCTTCTGCCCTTGCCCTTCCTCAGTCCAGCTCACCCTCAGCACAGTTTGGAGCCCGACACTCCCCCACCTTCCTCTCCTGTTCGGTGCCAGGAGCCCGGGCCCATCCCTGGCCAGGCCTGTCTCCTCTCACCCTGACCCATCTGCTCGGCTCCGGCTGGCAGCCCAGCTCAGGCCCTGAACGAGCCCCGCGCTTTCCTTCCCTCTGCTGGGTCCAGCGTCTGTTTCACTCCACCAGGCTATGGCATGTCCACCCCTCCTTTCCCATCCGGCCACGGGCCCTTGAGCCCAAGGACTGGAGCCCATCGGGTCCCCTCAGGGGTGACCCCTCTCCTTCATTCCCACAGAACTCCCTTGCCAGGGACCGCTCTCCACCCCAGCACACCATCTGGCCAGCCCCTCAGGGGCTCAAGGGTCCTGCTGTCCCAGGAGCCCTCAGCTGGGCCTGCTCAGCTACTCAGACCTTAGCTCAAACTCTCTGCCATGTCCCCGGGCTCCTGCGGCAGCCTCGTACCCTCCTGTTGCAGTCCCCTGCTCACCCTGAAAGGTCTACCTCCTTTCTCTGAGCCCCTGCGGGAGCTCCCTGCCCTGCTGGTGCAGCCCCCTGCTCACCCCCACAAGGTCTACCTCCTTTCTCTGAGCCCCTGCAGCAGCTCCCTCCCCCCTGGTGCAGCCCCCTGCTCACCCCCACAAGGTCTACCTGCTTTCTCTGCCCACCTTCGGCAGCCCCCTGCCCTCCTGGTGCAGCACCCTGCTCACCTCCACTAGGTCTACCTGCTTTTTCTGTGCTCCTGTGGCAGCCCCCTGCCCTCCTGGTGCAGGCCCCTGCTCACCCCGACAAGGCCTACCTGCTCTCTGTGAGTCCCTGCGGCAGACTGCTGCCCTCCTGGTGCAGCCCCCTGCTCACCTACACCCTCTCTGACCCTTGTCCCTGGAGCTACAGGCCTTGAACCGCCCCAGCCCCTCTGGCCGGCCCCAGAGCCCTCAGCCTATTTCAGACCCAGTCTGGGAATTTCTTTCCCAGGACTGGCTTTGCTCTTTGGATTTCCTGGGTCAGCTCCTTGCCCTCCCAGCCCCTTGTCCACCTGCATAAACTCTGCCTGCTTCCTGAAATCCTGTGTGAGCCCTGTGCCCTTCAGCCCCCAGCCACCTGCACAAGCCCTACCTGCTTCCTGGAGAGGCTGGAGCAGCCGCCCTGCCCTCCCAGCCCCTGCTCACCCGCACATGCTCTACTTGTGTTCTCCATATTCCTGAGAAGCCCCCTGCCTTCCTGGTCTTCAGTCTCCTGCTCACCTGCGGCCTCCCTGAGCTTTGTCCCTGGGGTGCTGGCCCTTAGCAGCCCCTGCCTTGTGACCTGCCGCAGGTCACCGCCCTCGTTCTGCTCTGCTCCTGGGCCCTTCTCCCTGGAGCTGCTCGGTGCCCCTCCCTTTCTGGGCAGCTCTCCCCCGGCAGAGTCTCTGTCCCACCCTGGTCCCCTCCCAGCAGAGCTCCTGGCCCTTGGGTACCTTAAGCCTCTTCTTTGCTCCCTGAGCCCCCAGAAGTCTCCCCTGTTCCTTAGTTCCCTCCAGGTGCTGGTCTGCGTCTCTGTGCCCACCTGCTCCCAGCCCACAGCTCCTAGTCCTGACCCTCTGCGCCCTGGCTCCCATCGCCCCTCCTGTAGCCAAGGGAGCTGGTGTGCAGCCCCTGTACTGTCAGCTCCGAGCTCTCGGGAACCCAGGCCAGCCCTGTGTCTCTGGCACAACTAGCCCCGTGCAGCCCGGGGCAGGCTTCTGGCCACTGATCGTGACCCGCTCCCTGAAGGCCTGGCGGCTCAGCTGAGCTCCACTGGCCTCTGATGCACCAGCTCCGCTAGTGTGGGCGAGCCCCTGCCAGGGCTCCCTCATCCTTGTGCTGGGTGGGCAGCACGACCCCTGGGCAGCTTGCCTTCCCCCGTGCTGGCTCAGGTGCTCCTGGACCCTCTGTGGGGTCCCGTCCCTGAGGTGGGGTCTCCCCTTCATTGCACCCCCGCACTCCATCTCTCCCTGGTCCTCCTGGACACTCTGTGGGGTCCCATCCCTGAGGTGGGGTCTCCACTTCATTGCCTCCCTGCACTCTGTCTGTCCCTGCTCCTCCTCGACCCTCTGTGGGGTCCCGTCCCTGAGGTGGGGTCTCCCGTTCATTGCTCCCCTGCACTTCATCTGTCCCTGTCCCCCCTGGACCCCACTTACCGAAGGTGGAAGCTGTGGAGGTGGCTCCCGTGCAGCCTGGGTCTCCTGGGCACCCCTTCCCCTTCCCTGCTCTGTCCTCGGCACCTGTGCTCCTCCAGGCTGGGCTCTTTGTCCACAGCCCCACTTTCTAGGAAGTGGTAGCTGAACTTCCTAGGAATTCAGTTGCGCACCTGGAGTGTGAACCCCCTAACCACCACCCTGCGAACACTAAGGACGGGACTGAAACCGGTGGCACCGCCTGCTTCCTGAAGTTCCCGTTTCTCTGGGTGGGTGCTGTCTCAGATGACCTGGGGGAGTTCACACGCAGCAGAGGCGCCTCATTGGGTGTGTGGGGGTGGGGCGACTGGAGCCAGGGACCCCAGGGAGACAGTGGGAGTCCTGGCGGTCACCTGTTCCCTGCCTCCCACAGGGATGCTGCCCACATGGCCCACTGCAGACCAGGGTACCAGGCCTTAACTTGAGCCCTCTGGTCCTCCTTGCCCTGGTGGGCACCTCTCCCTTCCCTGGTGAGGGTGTGGTGGGCACTCTAATAGGACAGGCAAAGTCTGGGTTCTCGGAGCTGCTGCAGCCAGGGAGTCTGCGCCCATCCCCGGGCTCAGCAAGGCCTCCAGGCAGGGAGGGGCCGGGGGAGCTTGGTGCTTGTATCATGTGTGTGTGCTGCTGGGTGTTACTGCACACACATGCAGGTCTGTGACAGACACACGTACTACAGGTATGCATAGTATATGATGTATATGTTAATGGGTTAAAATATTTTCTGTGTATGGAGAGCTTCTTTGTGGAAAAAGGGAGAGCTCAGGGGTGCCCGATGGGGGCTGTGAACCTGGAGACTGGACGAGGGGCGAGAAGGGGGCCCTGTGACGGCTGGGGGCACGTCCGGCTTCCCCCTGTGGGTCCTAAGTCGGACGCAGGGACAAAATGATGGGCGTGGTCATCACTGGTCACCTCCTGGCTGGCGACAGGAGGGCTGTGCAGACTGCGGCTTTCTGAGCTGTTGCTGGTCACGGAGCCAGTGGCAGCTGGTGCCTGCCGAGGCCCTGTGCCCCCAAACCTCCAGCCCTTCGGCGCCTGCCTGCTCCTCCTCAGAAGATAAACTCCTGGCGGGGGTCTGCCTTGGCAGAATTGACAGCCCTGGGAAACGACCAGCCTCACCGCAGCTCAGGCCGACGTGGCTCAGCCCGTCTCCCCTTATCAGTCATGAGTCCCACGGCCTTGCTGGCGTCAGCCCACGTCTCCATCTTACGGGAGTCATAGATCCACTATCCCCCCAAGTACCAAAGCCCCTCACCTCACTTACAGACAATCAGAAGTCTGTTCCCTAGTCCCTTTGTGTTCACAGCCCCTTCCTCTTAAAAGACCCTGCACGTTCACACTCGGTGCACACGCGGGCACCTGCCGTCTGTGTGGCCCACGTAGCAGCGTAACTATTAAACTTTCCTTTGTTCTTGAACTCCTCCTGGCCTTTGATAAATTCTTTAACCACCCGTGACGCTGGCCCTCCATGTGTCCTCCAACAATAGAGGTCAGACTTTGTGGAAGTCTGATGTGTAGGGAGCAGGCGGCTTCCTGTACTGGTTCCTGTGGATGATTTCCAGTGCACCCTGGTCCCCCAGCACAGCTCTCCAGTGCACCCTGGTCCTCCCAGGACAGATCTGCAGTGCATCCTCCATCACAGTTCTGCAGTGCATCCCTGTCCTCCCAGCACAGTCCTGCAGCGCACCATGGTCCTCCCAGCACAGATGTGCAGTACCCCCTGGTCCCCTCTGCCCACCTCCGACTGGCTTCTGCAGGCCATTGGGTGCATGTGCGGATCCTGGGATGGGCAGTGGGGGCTGTAAATTTGAAGTGACCACCAGGCGATGCATCCAGTCTGAGGCCAGCTCGGTAACACTGGACAGAGGCCTGTGCTCATCAGCATAGAACTTGGGGCCTGCCTTGGATGTGGTGGAGCTTAGGGGAATTTGATTAACAATAGAAACCTTTTAATGTCCATCAACAGATGACTGGATAAAGAAGAGGTGGTATATTTATACAATGGGATACTAGTCAGCCATAAAAAACGACAACATAACGCCATTTGCAGCAACATGGATGTTCCCGGAGAATGTCATTCTAAGTGAAGTAAGTCAGAAAGAGAAAAAAAATACCACATGAGATCGCTCATACGTGGAATCAAAAAAAAAACATAAAAACAAAACAGAAACAGACTCATAGACACAGAATACAAACTTGTGGTTGCCAGTGGGGAGGGGGTGGTAGGGGACAGAGTGTGATTTCAAAATCTATAGACACTGACAGGCATATGTAGACTAGATAAACAAGACTATACTGTGTAGCACAGGGAAATACACACAAGATCTTGTGGTGGCTCACAGTGAAAAAAAATGTGACAATGAATATATGTATGTTCATGTACAACTGGAAAACTGTGCTGTACCCTGGAATTTGGCACAACCTTGTTAAATGACTGTAACTCAGTAAAAAAAAAATTTTTTTTTACAAAGGACAGAAACCTTTTCAAAGGCTATCTTGTGCTAATAAAAATCAGTGCATTTGGCCATCCGACTCTGCCATTGCCGCATCCACGGATCCATCCATGTGTGAAGTAAAACTATGTAACCCCCCCCCAAATCCCAGAATATTCCCTAAAGCACCTGGAACTGGCCACACACTGGCAACTATTCACATCACACTGACGTTGCATTAGGGGTCATAAGTAGCCTAGGGAGGAGTAACGCTTACTGGAGAATGTACGTGCACACACTATATGGCTTGACAGAAGGGGCTTGAGCATCAGCGGGTTTCGGTGTCTGAGGGAGCCCTGGGTTCAGTCTCCCGCAGACGCAGAGGCCCAGCTGTCCCGAACTGAAGGGCCCCTCGCGTAGCTTGAGACGTTTCCGTGAACCAGATGCCACCCCTGCAGCTTTCTCCCTTAACCCCCTGGATGCCCTGGACACGCATTACTGCTCTGAACCTCCCATTTCTTTTGGCAACAGAAGAAAAAGTGGTGTGTTCTGACCCAGGTTCCAGGCCTCAGTCACCACCCTTGGATCCCAGAAGAGCCTCAGGCCATCCTGGCCTTTTGGGCAGGGTGGGGGTGGCTGAGCCAGGTAGGTGGAATCCTTCAGGCTCCCAGCCCTGCACAGTCCCCCACAGGACATGTTCCCCACAGGACATGTCCCCCCGTGGGCTGGCTTCTCTCAGGAGCCTGGGACCAGTACCTTCCATGTTCACCACAGTCATCCCTAGAGGTGTGGGATGCACAGCAACCCAGGGGTCTTGTGACACTTCACCCCCAAGTCCACTTTGCAGCACCATGGGAGCTCGTCTCCGTCTGACTCCACGTGACAGAATGTTCTAGAGGCACTGAAGAGGCTCAAGTGGGGGCAGCCTCTCCCTCCAGTGCCCACCCTAGTGGCTGGTGTGGGCTGTCTTCCTGAATGGGAGGCTTGGCATGGTCCGCTCAGATGATCCCGACAGCCCACGGCCTGTGGTTTCCTCTGGAATGAGCTCCGGCAGGCTGGCCCCAGCCTCTCTGCAGGTGGGGCGCTCTGTACCTCCCTCAGACTGCGGGAGCCACCCGCCTCACTGCTCCACCCTCGGGCAGCCTCTGACAGGCCTTCTTCCCGGGCGCGTGTAGATCAGCCGGTCACGAGCACCAGCTGGAGGGATGATTTTGGCAGTGAGTTTGCAGGCACAATGAAAAAGCGCACTTTGTGAAAAGGAAACACAGTTAGTGGAACTTCACTGAAGTGGAAAATGCCTGCCTGTGGAAGACACTGTCAAGAGAATGAAAGGCAGGCCAGAGACTGGGAGAATCACACACCTGCAAACCTGGCCACAGCGCAGGGTGCCACGCACTCAGGTGAGCCATGAAGATATCAACACCCTGCGCCCCAGGTCCATGCTTCTGAGCATCTCTGA